CAGGCCTTGTATTTCATAGAGAGTAATTGATAAAACATTCCTTTATAAAATGACTTCTAATTACATAACCTATTTCTACTAATTCTATTTTTCTTCATATAGTGCCAGCAGTTTTAAATGTGAAAAACTACTGTTCAAAACTCAAGCACAACTTTATTACCAACTCTGTAATTTAACCAGCATTTGGTCCACAAAAGAACATCCAAAATACATTTAAAAAACGTCTTTTTTGAATCCCTATGAGCTCCCTTTTTTTACCCAAGCATGAGGTTAATGAGTAAATAAAATATTATTACAATCTAAAACATTTAGTTTCACTATCTTACTCTAAAATATTTAGTTTCACCATCTAAAAAAGATGGTGAAACTAAATATCTAAAAAAGATTTTGGGTTGTCAATAATACTTTTTTTTTTCAGTTACCTCAATATGTTTTTATAAATAATTGAAATAGAAAAAATAGATTTTTATAAATAGTTGAAATAAATTTGGTATTCAATATTATACTGAATGACTGTATCTTGAGAGTTTAAAATAAAAAAGAATTTGATTTGTCATTATTGGTAAAATGAGTGTGGCTCTCATCTTTTATAAGTTATTAGTGTGGTATTAAATCTTAAAGCTTGTTAGATAGCATTAAATTCAATAAATTTTAGATAATAATTATAAGATAATAAATAATAGATGATAAATTTTAGGCTTTTGACAACAATAGCGGACAAACCAATTGGATCAGAGTTATTTAAGAAATGTATATTGTCATAAAACATTTACTTTCACAATGTTCAATAAGCTTGCGAATATCTACTAATGACAATTTAGTTCTCATAATGAGATCTTTATCTTTGTTTAAAATATCAATTATAGCAATCACTGTTTTATCTAGTAAAACAAATGAATATAAATTAATATCATTAAACAAAATCTAAATTTCATTTTTTTTAATAACCCATTTTTTAGTAGCAGATACAAATGAAAATGAGATTTTAACCTTGATTTCATTTTTCTTCAGAGTATGCTGTATTATTTCAACAAGATGTTGTGAAAATTTATAAGCTGGTAATAGTTAAAACTAGAGTTTGCTTAAAATTTCTTAAAATTCGCAAAGAAATTGAGATACAACATTTGCAATGCTCAAAACTGCGGGAGAATGTCTTAAATTGCGACAAATTAAGACATTCTCAATTTCATGATCTTTTTTTTTAAACTAAACAAGTCTGAATCTGTTACGTTGCAATGACATGTTTTTCAGTTCAACAATTTTTAGTTTGACAACAGCTAATACTATATTAGCCAAAATAATAAAAATAATATATAACCAAACATGATGTAAGTTTTTATAAATATTATTATTTTAAATATTTTTATAATTTAAATATAAACAATATATTATTAACAATTTCACTTGTTAATAATAATAATAATATATATATATATATATATATATATATATATATATATTATATATATATATATATATATATATATATATATATATATATATATATATATATATATATATATATATATATATATATATATATATATATAAACATCTTCGCTTCCAACAAGGCTGCAAGCAACCACTAATTAGTGTTGGAAGTTACTGGATAAGAAAAGATGAAGATTGTAGAGCAAGATAACGATTGACAGACGACTTAAAATATTGCATTTATATGAATCAGGAAAGCAAGATGAGGGAAGTGAATTCCAAAGAACTGATGTTCGAGGAAAATAACTAGAGGAATAAGAGTTTTTGAAGCACTTAGGAACAGTAACAGAAAAAGGATGAGACTTAATTGAATGACGAGTAAAACGAAAATGAAGTTTAGTAGATTGCACAAGAGACGCTAGCTCTTTAGAGCAGTGCCCATTATAGTATTTGTAGAAAAGAGAAAGAGAAGCAACATTGCGACAATGTGACAGAGGTTGAAGGTTGGCTGGAAGAGCAGGTCCAACTATGTTTACAATGCGTTTTTGCACCTTGCCTAAAAGAGAAAGGACATCATTAGAAGATCCACCCCAGATATGGCAACAGTATTCTATACAAGGCCGGATTTGAGATTTATAGAGATAGAGAATAGAATCCACAGTAAGAAAGTGACGAGCTCAATAAAGAGAAGCCACTTTAGCAGATGCTAATTTTGCAACAGATTTGATATAAGGTTTCCAAGAAAGGTCAGAAGTAAAAGTTAATCCTAGAAGATGAAGGGTAGGAGACTCATTGAGTACATTGCCGTTCATAAATATAGGAAGGTCTAAATTATTGCGATAACGATTGGCTGAAAAAAAATTGAGTTTTATCTGAATTAAAGTTCACCAGCCACTGTGAACCCCATGCTGTAGCAGAAGTGAGATCCTTTTCAAGCTCAGATGCCCCCTGCAAGCAATCAGAGGGAGTTGGCTTCTTATCGTGACAAGAATAAATGGTAGTATCATCAGCGAACAATGCCACCTTAGATGTGAGAATATCTGGAAGATCGTTAATGTAAATTAAAAAG